CTATAAAAAAAACAGTAGAAAAATAATTTGGAAAAGTTAATTTTTAAAATTTATTTTCGTTTAAGGGAAGAAGTTGTGATAGACTACCAAAGAGGTCACAATTCTCTTCAGGTCTTGTCATCAAAAAGTGGAGTCTATTGCTCTACCTCTTGAATATGGGCTTGCTTTGGCCAATAGAGTGTGAATGCTGAGTATAGACCTTAAGAGGATTGGCAAGCTTCTCTTCTCTTAGAGCACTGTGATCTCCATGTGACAAGGTCAGGACAGCCTGCTGGAGGATGAGAGATCAGGTAGAGAGAAGACATCACAGGCATGTTTCCAGAGACCTGCTAGATGACAGCATATGCATGAGCAAGCCCAGACATAATCAGCAGACCTGCATGGCAAATCTACAGACTTCAAACTACAGACTTAAATCTTAATAATTTTAAGCTGCTAAGTTTTGGGGTGGTTTGTTTGTAGCAAAATCTCACTAATGAGAGCTCTTCACAAAATGTACTCTGAGTATTTTATCAAGCTGGTCCACATGGACTTGAATATACATGCTGTATTGTCTCCATCTTTAAAATACATCTAAAATCAGACCATTTCATCCCATTTCCACTGGTCCAATCCACCATTGTGTGTCACCTTGGTACCATAATGGACTCATATATGTTCTTTCTTCTCCAGCCCTTGCCTTATGCAAGTCTGTTCTTCCCTAAAGCTAGGATGATCCTTTTAAAGCAAAAAGATCATATCACACCTCTGCTCTAAACTTACTAATGGTTTCCAATGTCATTCAGAGTAAAACCCAATATTTTCTTACAATGGCAACAAGATTCAACCGTGTCTGCCTCCTCTTGCCTCTCTCATCTTATCTCCTACCCTGCTATATTAGTCCATTTTCACACTACCATAAAGAACAGCCTGAGACTGGGTAATTTATTTTTTTTTTAAAAAAAAAGCCTAATTGACTGAGTTCTACATGGCTAGGGAGGCCCCAGGAAACTTAACATCATGGCAGAAAGTGAAGGAGAAGCGAGGCATGTTTTACATGGCAGCAGAAGAAAGAGAAAGTAAGGGTGGCACTGCCAAACACTTTTTAAACCATCAGATCTTGTGAGAACTCACAATTATAAGAACAGCATGGAGGAAGCTGCTTCCATGATCCAATCACCTCCCACCAGGTCCCTCCCTCAACACATGGGGATTATAATCAAGATGAGATTTTGGTGGAGACATAGAGTCAAACCATATCATTCTACCCCTGGATCCTCCCAAATCTCATGTCCTTTTCACATTTCAAAACACAATTATGCTTTCCCAACATACCCCCAAACCTTAACTCACTCCAGCGTTAGCTCAAAATTTCAAGTCCAAAGTCTCATCTGAGACAAGGCAAGTCCCTTCTGCTTATGAGCCTGTAAAATCAAAAACAAGTTAGTTACTTCCAAGATACAATGGGAGTACAGGCATTGGGTAAATGTCTCATTCCAAATGGGAAAAATGGGCCAAAGCAAAGGTCTACAGGCCCCATGCAAGTCTGAAATCTGGCAGGGCACCCATTAAATCTCAAAGCTCCAAAATCTCAAAGCTCCTTTGACTCCATGTCTCATGTCCAGGGCATGCTGATGCAAGAGGTGATCTCCCAAGGCCTTGGGCAGCTCTGCCTCTGTGGCTCTGCAGGATACAGCCCTTGTGACTGCTTTTATGGTCTAGCATAGAGTACCTGTAGCTTTTCCAGGTGCACAGTGCAAGCTGTTGGTGGAGCTACAATTCTGGGGTCTGGAGGATGGTGGCCCTTTTCTTATAGCTCCAGTAGGCAGTGCGCCAGTAGGGACTCTATGTGGGGACTCTGACTCCACATTTTCCCACTTCATTTGCCCTAGTTGAGGTTCTCCATGAGGGTTCCACCCCTGCAGCAGACTTCGGCCTGGACATCTAGGCATTTCATACATCCTCTGAAATCTAGGCAGAGGCTCCCAAAGTTCAACTCTTGTCTTCTGCATATCCACAGTCCCAACACTATGTGGAAACCATCAAGACTTGGGCTTGCATCCTCTGAAGCAACAGCCTGAATTGTAGAGTGGCTTCTTTTAGCCATGGCTGGAGTGGCTGGGACATAAGGTGCCATATCCTAAGGCTGCACAGAGTAGCAGGGCCCTGGACACAGCCCAGGAAACCATTTATCCCTCCTAGACCTCTGGGCCTGTGATGGAAGGGGCAACTAAAAATCTCTGGCATGCCCTGGAGACATTTTATATATGTATAATTCCCCTTGTGAAATATCTATATCTATAGATATAGATATAGATACATAGATATACACATATATAGCCTTTTATGATGGTTAGCCCACAAGCTCACCAAATGCCCTAAAACTTCGAAACTTCTAGATTGCTTTGCGTGTGACCTTACAAATAATTTGTGTGTGTGTGTGTCTATATCTATATCTATATCTATTATGTAC